CTACCACTACCACTACCACTACCACCTACTACTACTACTACTGCCCCCTCCTACCACCACCACCACCACCAATACTACTTCTACTACTACCAACTACTACTATTGCCACCACTACTACTATCACTACCACTACCACTACTAACTACACTACTACCACTACTACCACTACTACTACCACTACTACTATTACCATCACCATTACCACTACTACTGCTACTACTACTATTACTACTTACTACTACTATTTACTACTACTACTACTACTACTACTAACTAACTAATAATAATAGTAATAGTAATGATAATGTAGTAAAGGTAGTAAATGATGATAATAATATCAATGATAATAATAGTAATGATAATGATAAAGATTATAATAATAATGATTAATAATGCTATGATCATTGTTGTAAATAATATATATATTTGATGATTTGTTTTATTATTATTGTTATTATTATTATTATTATTATTATTATTATTATTATTATTATTATTATTATTATTATTATTATTATTATTATTATTATTATTATTATAATGATGATGATGATGGTGATGATGGACAATTATTGTTATTATTACTATTGTTGTTGTTGTTATTATTATTATTATTATTATTGTTATTATTATTATTATTATTATTATTATTATTATTATTATTATTATTATTATTATTATTATTATTTTTATCATTATTTTATTATTATTATTATGACTACAACTACTATCATTATTGTTGTTGTTATTATTATTATTATTATGATTATTATTATTAATTATTATTATTATTATTATTATTATTATTATTATTATTATTATTATTATTATTATTATTATTATTATTATATTATTATTATTATTATTATTATTATATTATTATTATTATTATTATTATTATTATTATTATTATTATTATTATTATTTTATATTATATTATTATTATTATTATTATATATTATTATATTTATTGTTATTGTTATTGTTGGTGTTATTGTTTTTTGTTGTTATTATTATAATTATTGCTATTGATATTATTATCATTATCATTATTAGTATAGGCATTATTATTATTCATTATCATTATTATTATTATTATGATTATTTTATTATTATTATTATTATTACTAATATTATTATTATTATTTATTATTATATTATTATTATTATTATTTTTATTATATTTATTATTATTGTTATTGTTGGTGTTATTGTTTTTTGTTGTTATTATTATTATTATTGCTTTTTGATATTATTATCATTATTAGTATCATTATTAGTATCATTATTAGTATCATTATTAGTATCATTATTAGTATCATTATTATCATCATTATTATCATCATTATTATCATCATTATTATCATCATTATTATCATTTCATTCATCATCATTCATTCATCATTCATCATCATTATTCATCCATCATTCATCATTCATCATCATCATCATCATCATCATCATCATCATCATCATCATCATCATCATATCATCATCAATCATCAATCATCATCATCATCAATCATCAATCATCAAATTATGTTATATAATTGTTTTATGTATAATTATATTACTACTACTACTACTACTATTATTACTATGTTGATATAAGTAATGATGATGATGATGATGAGAATAATGATAATGATAAGAATATATATGTGCAATAGAAAATGGTATGTTATATCTATGTTATTGGCATAGAAGCAGTAAAAGCCTACTATAAGTGGAAACCCAATCCACACTTACACTGTATCGTCCTTTAGAGCCTATTTCAAAATACATTATTAGTAGGCAATACAAATCATAATTATAAGTTACACATTGTTTCATTGCTTTGTTTGTTTATTTAGGCTCTGAGAGTAGTTTACACCAGACTGATTTAATTAAAAGCAGTAAATGTAATTTTATGACACGAAAAACATGCTCATATCTGAGCTTTTCTAGATTCTTTTTTTTCTAAATCTAAATGGCAAGGTAACTGATTTCACAATTCAAGCCATAATTTTTTAATGTCCTTGTATATTTTGCAATATTTTTAACTCTCAAATTATCTGTTACTTTACTACTTAGTTATGTGGTTTATATGTTGTTTTGCCTAGTTTGGTTAAAGCTGATGATATTAATGATAGTCATAATGATGTCAGTAATAGAAATAGCAGCAGAAATGATATATAATTGATTATATTGATTGTAATGAAAATGATTGTGTTGCTGATTATGATGATACCAAAAAATAATGAGTCATGCTAGCAGTATGTGATTTAATGATAGTGATAATGCAAATAATAATGAAAAATAAAAAAATACAATGATAATGACAGATAGTGCTACTTATGCTATTATGAGTCATGATAATGATACAAAGATTATAGTTATTATAATGTGACAATAAATTATTGTAAAACCAGTATAAATACAAACAGGAATAAGTGTGATTCCAGTAGGCTAAGCATGTATGCATACTACTCTGTTTGGTTATTATATATATTTTTTTTTC